GTATCCCAGTCAGCTGCGGTGAAATACAAGTGAATGTTCCAGCACGTCTGCTGCGCCCGCGTGCCTTCCTGGGCCTCGATCTGGCAAGAAGCATCTGCGAGACACGACGCGAAATTGAGCTTCTGGGTTCCACTCCAAGGCCCCTCCGCCAACACTGCTCCAATGGCTGTGGTATCAGATACGGTGAGCTTAGTGGTGCTTCTGATAGTGGCCAGCAAGGCGTTCGCTTGCGTCTCGAGCAAGGCGTCCTGGCCGACGCCCAGGGCACGCTGGGACTCAACGAATCTCACTCGAGAGTTGATTGCTTCGATGAGCACAGCGGCTGCTTGCGACTGCGCCATGGTGGCGCGACTGCCGAGCTCCCAAGAGACTGAGGGAGAGGATAAGAGCTCGCACAGCAACTGATCGCAACAAAACTTCAGCCAAAAAAGGCTAAGCACGGAGAAGGAGGCGGAGGAGGAGGAGACACATGCTCATCCTCCTCCCATCTCCTCTTCCTCATTTATCTCCTCCTCCCCTCTCCTTATCTGCCCTCTCACCCATCTATCCTCAGTACTCGTGCCAGTCATTCTCCCTTTCTCGTCGCCCCATCTCACCATCCCCATCACCTCATCATATCGTGACCCTCGCATTGGCGTCCTGATCTTCAGACGTCGTTCTCATTTTTCCTACGCTTCTCTCCCGCGAACCGTCTCTTCAGGCGGTGGGCGCCGATTTTGCCAACATGCCCCCGCCTGCTGGCAAAATTTTGCCAGCCGGCAGGGGCCTGCTGGCAAAATTTTGCCAACCGGCCCCCGCCTGCTGGCAAAATCGCTTCTTATTGATTCTCTTAGCCCGATTTTGCCAGCAGGCCCCTGCCGGTTGGCAAAATGTTGCCAGCAGGCCCCTGCCGGTTGGCAAAATCGGTTCGTCTGACGCGGGGGGCGAGGCGGGTGTGACAGTCGGAAGGTTTTGGGCGGCTCCCATGGTGGGTCGGGTGGGTCTTGGAGGCGCTAGGGTGGGCCTTTGAAGTAATGCGAGAGAGCGTCTGGCCCACGCTGGCACGGCAGAAGGGCCTTGGAAACCTATGCGACGGCCTTGGGGGGGCTACGCTTTTACCCTGATTTACGCCAGTGCGAAGTCGACTGGTGCCAAATTCTATCCACAAGCGTCTCGCGCTAGCCACCCTCAGCAGCGCAGCAGTAGCAGCGTGTTGTGGCTAACCCACGGCAGCGCTGCTCAAAATGACGAGAGTGTGACCGAGGCTGCATTCGTGTCTTCCTCCTCCTGCCCCCTCCTTCCCCTCCTCCTCCTCCTCCTCCTCCTCCTCCTCCTCCTGCAATCCTCCTCCCTCTCCTCCGCCTCTTCCTGTACTCCTCTTCCCTCTCCTCATCCTACCTCCCTCTCCCAGGAGGCGACCTATTCTAAACCATTAGAATGCGCAGGGGAGGTGGGGAGGGGATGCGGAGGAGGATGAGAGGGAGGAGTGGGATGCGCAGTTGATATTCCTTCTCCTCCTCCTCCCCCTCCTCCTCCTCTCTCCTCCTCCTCCTTTTCCTCTTCCTATTTATCCCCATCCAAAGCGGCCGATGTTGCTACCATGAGGCACCGTAGTAACATCCTTCCCTCCTCCTCCCCCTTCCCCCCCCTCCTCCTCTCCCCCTCTCTTTCTTCCCCTCCAAAGGCGGGCGATGTTACTTCCATGGGGCACCGTAGTAACATCCTCCTCCTCCTCATCCTCATCCCCCCCCCTCCTCCTCCCCCCTCCTCCCCCTATCCCCCTCCTCCTCCTCCTCGCCTCCTCCTCCTTCCTCCTTATCCCCCTCCTCCTCCTCCTCCTCCCTCCTCCTCCCTCCTCCTCCTCCTCCTCCTCCCTCCTCATCCTCCCTGCCACATTACATAGCGAGGGCTGCGCTCAGCCCTACGCGCTGGGGTCGCAGTATTGGTTCGTGAAGAAGGTCTGCAGTGCATCTGCAATTGCCTCGACACGGTCCTGCTTGATCTGTTCCGTGTCGGTATCCACGAACCTGACTTGCATGCTTTTGTCCCTCCAGCGTCTGGAGTCGCCGTCAAAGAACTTCACCCTGCAAGCGCGCCTGTGCCCCAGCCAGGACACTGCGGGCCATTCGCTGAGGTCGGGGACGAACGTGTCGGCGTGAAGCTTCGGCTTCTTCGCGAGGAGCGACAATGCCAACGGCGTTGCCTCCAGCATGAGCTGTCCTCTGTCGAAGGCCGAAGTGCAGACTCTGACGTGGTGGGAGGAGCCATCCTCATCGACGGCAACCTGGATTTCGACAGTCTTGGCGATGGAGTCGAACAACTCCTTCTTGGGGCGTTTCGGGACTGGCGCTTCGTCAGCGGGCTGTTGCTCAGCAAGTGGGTCATCCTCGGCGGAGAGCGCTGCCATGAGGCGACGAGTTGCCTTGTTGCGCTCGGCAACCATCGCGTTCAGCATGTCGAAGTCCCTCTTGACATAGGCCTTGAAACGCCCGCACTGAGTGTCGCAGGTCACGAACTGAGTGGCCTCTACCGTAGTGACTGGTGTAATCCACGAGTTGCCGATCGCGGGGGAATCCTCCATGCTAATGGCAACCAAGTTCGTCTGGACGGTGGCCATCGGAAGTGTTGCGAGAGCTGTCTGTAGCCAACAGGCCGCTGCAGGGTCGCAACAGAGCTTGAGCAAAAACATGCCACTGAAAAAAAGGATGGCGAAGGAGCGACTGCGGAAAGCGGGCCAGCGAAACAACACAGACAACACGACTGGGATCTGATAAGTTCAGGGGGAGGGCTATAGGGGTGCTGCCTCAGGTATGACACCAGCGGAACCTATCTTCAGAACTGCCATGCTTCCGTCGCATTTGAACACTGCGAGAAAGCGCAGACAAACCTTACAATTACATCGTCGGGGGGATGCGAGTACCAATCAGCCCTCCCAAAGCGAGCGACAGATCCCCTAAGAGTCTCAAGAGCTCCGAAGCTCCGAAAGAATCCAAATATTGCCCACCTAGTCCCACTGACGTGGACGCGGTAGCGCCTTCCCCACCCGCCCCGTGGGATCCTAGCAATGCTGGCTCCGCGAGCGCCTGCAGTGGCGACAAGAATGATCAGTGTCGTATTCACCTCCCTCCTTATTCTCCCTGCCGCTCCTCCACCTCCCCTCCTCCTCCTCCTCCTCCTCCTCCTCCTCCTCCTCCCCCTTATCCCCCTCCTCCTCATATTCCTATTCCTCCTCCTCCTTCTCCTCCTCATCCCCCCCCTCCTCCTCCTCCTCCCCCTCCTCCTCCCCCTCTCCCATCGTCGCCCTCCTCCTTCTGCCCATTCTACTCATCGTTGGCCCCTCCTCCTCCTCCTCCTCCTCCTCCTTCGTTGTCAGTCTCATCGCTGGGGCTCCCGACGGATCGTTTGACCTCTGCTTGGGCGCGCAGAATGCTCTTGTGCGCAACTACCTAGTTCGGCGACAGCGGCTATATACTGAGCAGGCCGTCGCAATCCTCTCACCTCGGCGAGGCCCCCTCACACAAGGGCGCCACCAAACAAAAAGCCCGAGGGAGGCCAATATATGCAACTCGGAACGTTCTCCACCATGGGGGGTCCCTGCTGACTTGTCGCTTTGATGGGGCGGTGGTGGTGGGGGTCACTGGTGGGCAAAGTCCCGAATTCAGGCTTAGGTCCGAGCGGCCTTCTTAGGGCTAGCCTTGGCCTTAGGGCTCTGCGCGTCCGAGGCGCGCTTCTTGCTAGAAGCGTCGTACAACAAAGCAGTGCCACTCGAGATGGCTTTGGAATTGTACATGATGGGGAGGTGAATCGTCTCCTCGCGATTCGAAACTAGGATCTGCTTCAGAGGCCCACCACCTACTTCCAGGGACGACAGTTTCACCTGCATCGTGCCCTTGACAAGATTGGCCTCTGTAGAATCAGCAGCTGGCGGCACGCAAAAGTACGGGGCGATGGTGCCCGTGTTGTCCCCTTTGGGGAACTCTGTCTTGGGCGCCACAAACAAACACACACGCTTGCCGTTCGGATCAAGCAGATCGTGCAATTCCAATGCGTTGGCGGGGGCCTTAGAGCCACTTCCCACGGTGACACTAAACGGAACCAACACCAACGACGCCCGAGGGAAGGCTTCTTTAGTAACGACTTTCTGAATTACCTGTTTGCCACCAGTCGTGGCAACAGTAAAGGACAGCTTGCCGCCAAGGTCATGCATAGCATATGCATCAGAGAGCGCCTTCAGCACCGAAGCCTTGAGGGCGTTGAGCACAGCCTCGGGCTTGTCCTGTGGCGGGGAGAGATAGAGAGGGCCGCATCCTCCTTCGCCTCCTTGTATCATATCGTCCTTTTGCTCCCCTCCCCCTCCTTCCTGCCTCACCCCTCTTCCTCTTCCTCCTCCTCCTCCTGCTTCCTCTGTTCTCCTCCTCCTCCTCCTCCTCCTCCTCCTTCTCTCCATCCCTCCCCCCTCTCTCCCTCCCCCTCACTCCCTCCCTCCTTCACCGTTCTCGCTGTGCGCTGCAACTTGAAAATCGGACGTCCGAGACCCAACTGGTTTCAAACTATGCTACCCTTCATTCGTCCCTCCTGCTCCCGTTGTCTTTCGGTTTCTCGTCTATCTCCTTGCCCCCGCCCCCGCGGTTTCCGTTCTGGTGTTTTCGCATCCTCTTGTTTCCTCATATCCTCCTCACCCTCTCAGTCCAGGACGGCAGAGGGCGGCGGCATGTCGAAGGTCACGGTCGCGTCGACGTCTGCAGCCTCTCGGGTGGCGGGGGAGGGCGGGGGGGGGGGGGGGGGGCGGCGGCGGCGACGGGGGGTTAGCAACCAAGAACAATATCCAGAAGGTTTACGCCATCCAGCTGACCACACACAAGAGGATACCAACGACAACTAATTACATGAGAGCCTTGTGGCCGTCAACCTACACCTACCGACATTTATCTACATATACACAACATACACATGTGTACATGTTTGAGCACATGCCAATCCTAGAAAAATGTGTCATGTGCGTGTGTTGAATTGCTGCCCACCCGAGCCTTCCACTCGTCAGCGAACTTGGCGATGGTCACCGCGGTCGTCTCCTGCTCCTTCTTGCCCTTGCCCTTGATGACCTTCCTGGGTTGGATCAGCACGACGTCTGTCTCAGTGAACTCCGACGTCGCTGGGGTCGCCATCCTTGGACACCACCTCGGAACCGACCTTGAAGCCCGTAGAAGTCAGTAGCGACGAAGTCAAGTTAGACGACGCTGTGTACTCGCGCATCCGACATGGAGCCGATGAGGCACCTGGTGCAGGAGCTGGTGATGCAGTTGCGACGTAAGTCCATGGAAGCGTCCCGTTGCGAGCGTCGGGGTAAAGAGCAAAGACGTCCTCAACGAGCTTGTTCGCAATCTCGTCAACGTTCTTGTACTCCCGACGTCCAGCAACCCTTTTCTTGTGGATGTGCATCACGCTGTTGATCTCGAAGTTGCCAAGGATGCGAGACTGCTGGGCCTTGCTCACATGGTCGGCCAGCTTGTCCAACCACTCCTTCGCACTGCGGATGTAGCTGCACACCTTCTGAACCGCGAGGTACCTCGGGTCGCCGACCTTCTTGATGGGAGCAATGTCTGAGCTCGTAACCACCTTGGCCACGCCTTGCTTCACGAAGGCCGCTGGCGCAGCCATCGAGGCCTTCAGGATGGACATCATGTACTCTGGGCCCTGCTTGAAATCCAGCTCGTTCAAAATCTTGAAAAGCTGAATCGGGAGCTCATTTTTCTTGGCCAGCGTCCCATCCCACGTAGCCAGGTCGTTCAAGAATTGGGGCGTCCTTCCACCGCTATACAGTATCACGAAATCGGCCATGGTATCGACCTCGCCGTGGAAGTGAGGACAAGATTGCTCCACGGCTTTGACGGCTTTCGCCTTCTGCTCTTCAGGCCTCAAGGACGTCCCCGCGAAGAACGCCAGCTTAGCGTGCAAAGACTTCATCGCTTGTATCTTAGTGGCGGGTCGGTGTGTAGCGTTGCCGACGTTGCCGCATGCTTGGATGAAGTCTGGCAAACCAGGGCAAGCAAGTTCCACTTCGTGACGGATGCAGCAAAACCTGAAGCCGCTCTCGATGGGGTCCCGCATTGACGGACAGGCTTGCAGCACTTTCTCTTTGCTAAACTTGCCATCCACCGCATACTCCTCGCATGTAGTGCAGCAGCCGTGCCTGCGAATGTGTAAATGCAAACAAACTCGAATTTTGTTGTCGGAAAGGGGATGGCAGGGGAGGGATGGCGTCCCATTCCCTGCCCCTCACATCCCCTTTCCTGAACGCAAAATATCGGTCAGTGCATTTACCCTGTGACCGTATAGCGCGGATGAGCGCCATCGTGTGGCTAGAAGCAACAGTGGCGTACTTCACGACCTGGCCGTCGCCGAACTTGGGAATGAACCCGTCGGACAGATCTGAAACCAAATTGTTGAATTCCTTTACCTTGTCACGTGCGCTGCCTTGGCCGCTCTCGAAACAGGTAGCCGAAGAAATCTCGTGTACGCTCCACCCAGCTGACGGGATGTGCTTGGCCAGGTGTTGAACTAAAGCAACGTCCAATCCCATCCCATCTCGATTCTGAGGGTGCACGCCGCACTGGCTGGGGTCGGGCTGAATGTAGTAGGCAAGGTTGTGCTCCAGAAGGATCGTCCTGATGTGGTCGAACTGCGCTCGCATCTCCGACTGTTCTCCATTCCTGAAATTCGAAATGATGCCGTTGATTGCGCCAGTAATCTGCTCCAGATTTTTTGCCATCTCCTGAAACTGCGCGGTTGCATCCGATGTCATGTTCAGAACTCCACGGGACAACTGAGAGAGGAGATGCAGCAATACTCGTTGAGTCCGAATGTGTTTGAGCAAGAATTGCTTGTCACTTGTTAAAAAATGCAGCGTCCTGGTCGTGATTCTGGAGCTCTGGAATTCGAAACCCGCACAACGTTCAACAAAATGTGCCCAGACGACTTCCAAAATCTCCATCTGTAACCTACTTAGCTCGGGGTTGCTAACCTACTTCGTAACCTACTTAGCTCGGGGTTGCGAACCTCGATAACTAGGTTAGTCGGTGGTTGCGTAAGTAGGTTCGCGGGTGCCTAACCAGGTTCGTAAGCAGGCGCAAACTAGATACCAACTAGCCCTTGGAGTTGTGAACCACCCGCTAACTCCGCTAAGTACTTAGCCGCGGTAGCAGCCAACTTGGGCCACATATAAACATGATATTGAAGTTATAACATATGTATGACTTGGTTGTAACTAGCATGTATCTATGTTGCAAGTACTTCTAACTCGCAGAACTACTTAGCAAGCAGGCCATCCATCCCAGTATGTCTGTCCTCCTACGTATTGCGGGGTTAGTTCTGATTTCACCATTGGTGGAAATTAAACATTACCAAAAACATGTTTCCAATTTCAAACACAAACAAATGTTACCCATGTACGGTTGGCTTCCAACTACCCGGTTTTTCGGCATGCAAGCAGCACGAAGGTGCTATCGGAACCCGCAGTGTCCCGTGCATGAATTGAATAATAGCATTTTGGCGGTAATCGCGCTTTGTTCGCAACGGTTTCCAGTAATCTGACCGGACCCGGCAGTATTCCATGGGACGTTTAATCGGTAATTACAGGTTCGTAATGCGACGTATTCTCCCCGTATGCCGCAGCCGTAGATTTAACAGAAAACCGTCGGAAAAACGAAAAACACCGCAAAATTTACACGATCACTGATTGCGGTTCCAATGGTTTCCAATTCCGGTTCTAACATACGCAAAAGAATACCGAAGAGCGCGAATTCGCAGTGCCAACCCGCCCTATTTCATTTCAATATTATTTCCGAACGTGCCCGCTGAATGTCCTCCGGGTATTCAAACGGGCGTATTTCTATGCATCAAAGCCGCTTCTTTGGAAATTTCTTGTCTTTTTCTAAAACGGGTACCGTTATTTCCGAAACGACACCTATTTTTTCTGAAATGGCCCCCGCTTTTTCTGAAACGTTTTGTTTGAAATAGCTATTGCGTTTTGAGAAACGGTATTTTGTTTTGAAATTGTTGTTTGTTTTTTTTTGGAACGGCGGTCGCCCGCTTTGGGGTGCGATTGGATTGGCTTGGATTATATCATGTGATATGGCAAGAATCCGTTCAAAAATTTTGTAAGGTGCATGTTTCTTCTGCGTGAGATTCGGTTTTTTTAAGAAAATTCCGAAAAACAACTCTGCGCACGCGCCAGGTAAAACGCTCCATTATAAATACGTATGGCTTACAAGCGAATGCCGAAACACTACTGGCATATCAAAAAAGAAAAACAAAAACCTTATGTTCGTTTCATTGTTAATTATTTTGCTGTTTGTCTTCCGTTCGCGGGTTCATTTTCAAAATATTTGTCGCTTTAATTATTGGATAAACAAATTTCGTTTTCTCATCAATCACCCCTACAATATCAAATTATGCATTTTCACATGCGACGGCCTTGCAATTCATGGCGAGTCGAACCCTAACCCAACTTGAAATTGGAACTTAACACTTCTCCACGGTAATTGAATTCGATGCCGGATGTCTTGTATTGATTATATATATATGTATGTACATACATACATACATACATACATACATACACATATACATATATACATATATACATATATACATATATACATATACACATATATACATATACACATATATACATATACATATACATATGCATATACATATACATATACATATACATATACATACACATATACATATACATAGACATATACGTGTACATATACACATATATACACAGAAGATTGCAATAGCGTCTCGTGCCATGCACTTGGTCCTTGCTCTTTCTTGCGGAGGCTCTTCGTTGGAGAGCCTCTAGGGGCCTCACAACAATTGTTTCAAGCTTTCTTAAGGCCTTTTGGAAAGCTCCAGGGCGTATTCTTAGGGCGTTCGGGGGCTTCCTCGGGCCACCCTGCCTCCAACCGCGGTCTCCTTGAATGACCCAATCACGAATTTCGAATTCTTCGGAGGGTCGGAGGGTGTCTTTGGGCCATCATGGGCTGCCATGGGGCTCTCTGAAGGCCATCTTGGGCCCGTGTTGTGCCATTTTGGGGCTCTCTTGTACTGCTTGGAAACTCTTTCGGATGGTTGTGCGGCGATCTGGATGCCTCCCAGGCGGCTTCGGACGCCCAGAACACCGCCGTCTTGGAGCGTCGGGAAGCCGAAAAGAGGAGAACCCTAAAATTCAGCAATAACCTGCAGAAAATCCATGATTTTTGCCTCAGGAGGCCTTCTTGGGAATGCTCTTGGATGCCTCTTCGGAGCCGTCCTGGAGGCCTCTTGGGCCATCTTGAGGATACGTTGGTCACTTTTGGAGCGCTCTTGTACTGTCTTGGGAGTCTCTGGGACGTCTCCGATGACCTTTTTGATCGCCCTAGGTAGGCTGGGAAGGTTTGGCAAAACGCCATGTGAGGCCTGGTGGCCGCTTCGAGGCCCCTCTGGAGAGTCTCAAAGCCCCAGATCCCGGGAGTCCGGTTTGGGGGGGAGGGTGATGGATTTTCCCCCCGCCCGGGCTTATACAAATATAGGAGGCCTGGAAAATGTGTGATAAACATCGAGTTACCGGCTGTTCAGAATTAATACGTGAAGAGTTACTTTTAAGACAGAGTGGGATAAATCTTGCACCAGACAAAAATTCAACCTGCCCAAATGGCAGCAACGAAATCATGATTGCAATATAAATGTATGTCTGTATGTATGTATATATGTATAAATATGCATAGATATACACAAGATTGCAGTGGCTCTTCGCGCCATGCACCTTCGTCTTTGAAGTTTGATATGCAGGCGGAATAACAGGAAGGTGAAGCCGTCAATTTAGCGATAACATTTGGTTGTTTTTTTTTGCATCGCCGCTATAATAATGTTATTCGTTATCCTTCCTCCATGTTTTTTCTTCCTTATTTCGCCATACCCTACGCATTCTCCCCATCTTCGTCAGCTCTTTTTTGCGGAGGCTCCTCTTTGGAGAGCCTCTGGGGGCTCACACCAATTGTTGCAGGTTTTCTTAAGGCCTTCTGGGGACCTCCTGGGCGTATTCTCGGGGCCTCTGGGGGCTTCCTCGGGCCACTCTGCCTCCAACAGCGGCTGGAATTCTTCGGGTGTCTTTGAGCCATTTTGGACCGCCATGGGGCTCTCTGAGGGCCATCTTGGACCCGTGTTGTGCCGTTTCGGGGCTCTCTTGGACTACCTGGAAACCTTGTCGGATGGTTGTGGTGCGATTGTGGGGCCTCCCAGGCGGCTTCGGACGCTAGAAGACCTCCGTCTTGGAGCGTCGGGAAGCCGAAAAGAGGAGAACCCCAAAATTCAGTAATAACCTGCAGAAAATCCATGATTTTTGCCTCGGGAGGCCTTCTTGGGAACGTTCTTGGATGCTTCTTTGGGGCCGTCCTGGAGGCCTCTTGGGCCATCTTGAGGTCATGTCGGTCACTCTTGGATCGCTTTTGTACTGTCTTGGAGGCCTCTGGGACGTCTCTGATGACCCCCCTGATCGCCCTAGGTGTTCTGGGAAGGCTTTGCTAATCGCCATGTGAGGCCCGGGTGCCGCTTCGAGGCCCGTCTGGAGGGTCCCAAAACCCCAGATCCCGGGAGTGCGGTTTTGGGAAGGGGGGTGATGGGTTTTCCCCCTCCCTTTGCCCGGGCTTGTAGGAATATAGGACGAGGATTATATATATATATATATATATATATATATATTATATATATATATACATACATACATACATACAGACAGACAGACAGATAGACAGACAGACATACATACATATACACATATACACATAGAGAGAGAGGGAGAGGGCGAGAGAGGAGGGACAAAAAATGAAACACTCGCACAAAACAATAATGCTTACGCGTGCAAATTCAAATACCAACCAACAACAACAACAACAACAACAACAATAACAACAACAACAACGACAACAACAACAACAACCACAACAACAACAACAACAACAACAACAACAAAACAACGTGGTCGAAAATGATACCCGCAAAAAAACATGCAAAACATCAAATACGCTGCCAAACATATCGCCTACATGCAGTATCCCGATCAAAAGCCGTACCTACCGCGATCAATACACACAATTATTGAAACAAATCTTCGTAAAGATTCGAAACAGTTCGGAGCTGTTGAAACCAAATAATATTCATCTATTGCCACCAAAAAAAATCTAATATGATTCGGCCACGACGCTTGTACCGACGGCTGGCATTATGTCCACGATTCTACCTGTGGCCAACACGACCGCGACCACGGCCATTCTTGATACCAACGCAATGTTTCCCGCCTTTTCCGCCGCACCAATTTCAGGTCTGTTTCTGGCTCTGCACACGGAAAAATACGGCGGAAGTGTGAAAAATGGTATTGCAAATGATGCGCGCAGTCCAGCTCTAGCTAGTAGGCGCGCACATGAAGCATCCAAAACTGTCAGGAAACCATGCTTCATTGTAAATCGCGGGAGTTTGATATGAAAGCTTATTTAGTATAAAACAATACACATGTATATATATATATATATATATATATATATATATATATAGATAGAGCCCCCGTGACGACGCATTTTTCTAACGACCGAAATGGTTTGAACATATCGTTGCATTTGGGGGTGTTTTTCGTTGCCTTACCAACAACATTCTACAATGTTCCGCATGTCAAAACGCGGGGTGCAAATTCAACCACGGGGTAAACCATAATTCCATATGGGTCTGCAGCACTTTACGTTGCCATGCGTCATTCTTTTG